CGCTAAAACCATTTGCTTTTGGAAGTTTTCCAAAAGAACGCGGTTATGCGAGCAGCGATGATTTGAGAAAAGCGTACTCAAGAGAACTGGCGCAAAAGGTGGCCAGGAGGTCTTCAGAAGAGGGCAGAGATGGTGCAGGTGATATGCTGAACCCTCCAGAATTCATAGGAGGTCCTAACTTTAGGAAAAGAATTGTAAGAATTCTGGAAGGTTCTCGATCGCTTGGTGTGTTTCTTTGTGTTGCTAGCTGTGGCTTCTCACTAGCTTTTTTCTCCATAGAATTTGAGGAAACAGTCAGAAAATAGTTACAGTAGCCTTCGCTGCTTCGTTCTGTCAGCTTTTCTGTTTCTGTGATTTCTTCACTACCTAAAAATATCATTAGTCACTTTTTCAGGCAAAGGTCGTAAGGAAAGGTCCGCATCTCCAGCCAAAGTCCTTGAACAAGAAGTGGTTTGCCGAGCAAATGGCGTCAAAGCTGAAATGCCAGTGTTTTGCTTGCAAATGATACTCCGCAACTATTTCTCATATGAGCAGGTACGGAACATCGTCTGACTACTATTGTTATCTGAGTCAAAAATACAGCCTGTTTCTTGTAGTTGGGCCAACTAAGAGCCGTACATCCCCATTGGGACGAGATATGCGGGCAGCTTCTGAATAGTGGTTACTACAAACTGTTGGAAAGGTAAGTTTTAGTTCAAATAACAGAAATAAGACCATAATTGTAAATGAATTTTTACTCATTATTGATTGAATATTCTGATTAATCCTTTCTTCTATTGATTTTTGAGCTAACGATCAAATTTCCTAGTATATTTCCATGTATTTTCATTTCCAACCCGATTAAAGGTCGGACCAAATGCTGATGGCTCTGCAGCGTAAGCTGCCCTCCGACCCTAGTCTTCATTTTCCGACCAGCGTTCTTACAAACATCCAAGTGCATATTCTTAATTCTGTCGATATCATGAGAGCTGTGCTAGACGAAGGTATTGTAATTTTCCCTTTCCTTTTCCAATTTTTCTCCAATCTGTACTCTGTTTTACATTTCTTCTTACAGGGGTATGTTGCTTCCCTTATGGAGTGATTTTGGACAAAACAAACGCTCTTCTGGATCAAGTCGAGTTCATGATGAAAGGTGGAGACCTGGTAAGGGTAATGTCTTAACTCTTTTCTTATTATAGCAGAGCCAACAAGGCTGAAAGCATGAAAATCACAAATTGCCCGTTACTTTGTACGCATGAGAATTGCGAGGGAATTGCACGCAAATTTCTGCAAATTGTGTTCTGTTCTCATGTTTTTAGAGTACTGAAAGCTAGATCAATATCACCAGAACTGTAAGCAACATTTTGTTAATATACGTTATAACATGAAGTTCTTACTTATAATGGCATTATGACTGCTCAAATGCAAGACAAGCACGCACTCGCCATGAGACTCAATCTGGAAAACTGAAAATTATACTTCGTATTATACGCTTCAACCGAAACTTCCAAACGACACTCTGTGTCTTAAGAAAAGAGGATAATTATTCGTAAGGCAGGTCAAAAAGGGATAACACCTAGAGCTGCGGCTCATAAAGCTGATTACAAATTTGCCGTCTAATTCTGCCGAGTGTTTCTCTAAAAGAAATTATGAAAATTTCCCCGTCAAATAGCGTGCACGTCTGCACACCTTTTCAATACCAGCCCTATCTGCAGCAGAGGTTTCTTTTATAAATCCCTTGAAACAGCATTATTTGATTTTCAATCG